GAAAAGAGAGAAAAGAGAAAAGAGAAAAGAGAAAAGAGAAAAGAGAAAAGAGAAAAGAGAAAAGAGAAAAGAGAAAAGAGTGAGCTTCTTGAAATACTCTCCTCCTCAATCTAAAATTAAGATGTATCTTTTCACTGTTCCATTTGGAAAATATTCACACCTAAGAGAATAGCTGTCAGTTGTTGCACACAGTGTCTGCTTGTGAATTTACTAAATTGCTAGTTAATCCTTGTAGCTGAGAAAACACTGATGTGGAAATTAATCTTATTGTTCAATTAACTAAGCATAATGTACCAGAAAGTTAGGCCCAGTACATAGGCCTCCATTAACAGTGTTCTATAAAATGTTTGCTTTGATGGCTTTTCTTTCCCTTGCAAACATTTGCTTAACAACATCTGATATCCGTTATGTAATATTTGCTAATATGTAGGTGTAAAGTAGCTATAAACATTTTATCCTCCCTTCATCATGATTCTCATTTCTACATTATTGCAAAGAATATATAAAGTTTTGAATAGCCTCTGGTTTTGTATGTCTTGGAAAATAAAATAATTCATGAAAATATAAATAAATTTAAAACTTTATAAGAACAGATAGCCTTTTAAAGGTTTTTGCTTTGCACAAAGTACTCACTTGATCGTGAAGGCCAAACCTTGGTTCTATAATATCAAAACAAGACAAAACTTTGATTAAAAAACTTAATTGCTTACACATTCTGACCATTTTGTACAGATCACTAGTTTTCCTTGCAATTCCACATACTAAAATACAGCAAATAGTTTTATTTTATATATTATCTCAAGCAACTTTGGAATACTAAGCACATCAGAGAAGAATTTTGCAGTACTTTGCATAGAAAAGGAGGGGGGAAATTTTATTGAGGAAGTAGTTCTCCTTTATTAGTCTAAATGAGTTATTAAATATAGTATTTCAAGCAATGTTTTGCCATCTTCGCTGGCTACTAGAGCTAGGAAAGTTTTTTAGGTTGCCAAATATTACAGGCAGGACAAGAGATGACTGACATGTCAGCTGTTGATTGCCTTTTGGATGAAGCAGGATCATGAATGGCTCCAGGCACAATGAGAACATCCCCTGAACTGCCTCTCTCACAGAAACCTGCTTACCTGTTCCAAAAACTTCGTGCTTTCAGTTTTGTAGACTGTGGATTTGTGGTTGATTTTATTGTGAAACATCTTTTAGAGTGAATGTAGGAGCTTCTGAAACAGTCAGAAAGAATGTAGGAGAAAATTAAAGCTTATTGATGCTTGCTGTTAGCTGTTAAGTCTTCATTATGTCTAAGGTGCGTATCTATCTAAGCAGAAAGATAATTAGCAGCATATGAATCAGCAGCAAAATCTTTTAAAGGAGAATTATTATCAGGAGGCCTTTAACATTTATACTAAAAGAGGTTACTTTACTGAAATGTTGCCAAGACATACCTTCAAACATTGTATTAACAAGGTTTCTGGAGAACCAAAGTGTGCCTGAGTGTTCTGTAAGAAGAAGAGTTCAGCCTGAGCAGATGCAGCACTATCCCAGTGGATAACATGGGTGGGTGTTTTTATATTTATAAATAAAATAAACATTTAAAAAGTTATTACAATGGTTCTGTACATCCCATGTCAGAGAGGCAATTTTTCTGATACTATTGAATAACAACGGTGGCATTAAAGAGGGACTGGAAGGTGACCTATTTTATTACTTGGTAGACTCTCCTGAGGACATTAAATTGTATCTTTTTGGAAGCTTATTTATTGCTAAATATTTTTTTTCCTAATAGAACAATAGTTATTTCGATTTAACCTCATTTCAGTTGCCAATTTAACTAAGTACTAGGAGATGGCTATTACTCAGCCACTAACTCACTTGCCATTTACACTCATGTTTAAAGGTAATTATTCTTTATAAACTAGACTGAAAAACAGAAGAAAACCTCAGATTCTTCACATTTTTGCATACTAAATCGAGACATGTATAGAAGAGTGATTTTTATTGTTGTTGTTATTGTAAGTCCTACTTATCTTTAAAGGAGAGATACTTCTAAAAGAAAAAAAAAAAAGGTTGTAGCAAAAGGACATTTTCTTCAGTGATAAAGTACAAGAAGTTATTTGAGATATTTAGGGAGATGTTTCTAAGCAAGTAAGTTTTGGGGAAAGAACTGGGAGAGGGAAAATTAATTCCATCTGTTCATTTATATGTCCTTACTGGACACCCTGAAAAGCTAGAAGCTATATGGCTTAGCAAGAAACAAACCTCCCCAGATATTTGTAACTAAAAAGCTAGGAAATATTTATCATTTTAATATCCTGAAATTCTGGCTTTGGAAGTGTTTTTCTTGAAATCAAGTAAGACCAGTTGAAATGAATAAATGTACAGAAAAATATTATAGCTGTTATTCAGAAACAGTGCATAGAATTTTAAATCTTTTTAACTTCAAGGTTTTCTGCATGGCTCAATGCAACTGGTAGCCATAAACATACAGGATTTAAATCTGCTGAAAAGTTTCTAAAAACAAACTATTAATAGCTAAAGTAAATGTGAGTAGCTAAAGTAAATGTGAGATTGTGTCAGGAAGAGAGGTCTTCTAAGTCCATTTAATTGTCATGCCTTATTTGTTGAATTTATTTAATGTTTCCATGTGACTTCCCTGACCACACAGCATAAAGCCCTGTTAAGCTGTTAAGTCTCTCCAGCAAAAACAGTTAAGTAGTTCCTATCTTTGTCTCCACAGCTTATATAGTTTAGCTTTAAGTGCCATGGAGAAAGCAGAAATGTATATATACAGCTGCTTTTGTTTTCTGATTTTAATTGCTTCAGGTACATAGATAATCTTTCATAGAAGATATGAATGTGTCTGAATATTAGAGCCTGATAAAGAACTGAAATTTTCCTCTTGCTGCTCTGATGATATCAGATGATGGCATCATCAGACTTTTGGTATCCATTTAACCTCTTGTGGAAAAAAGTTTTCTTTGTAGCCAGCTCACAAATAAACATAATCTTTTCCTATGCTACAATAAATAGTACTCTTAGAATCCTGCTATCTAGGAGAATCTTGGTTTCCTTTTGGGCTGTTTGCCCTGGGGAACCCAAGTGTTTTACTTGTGAGTACTTCAGGGAAATACAATCAACCTTGCTCTGGTTTGCGAAGTGGGTCTCATTTCTGCTAGGCTGGGGAGCAAGGGAGCTGCAGTAGGTCAGGCTTCAGCTTCTCCCGGCAGAGGTGTGTCGGGCTTGCCTCATGTAAGTAATGCACGAGAATGGTGGTGCTGAATGAGATGACTCGGAGACTGAGCTTCATCTGCCTTGTGCCCTGGATTAACATGGCCTCTTGTACGAAGGAAACAATTGTTTTTCAGTGCTTTGAGAATATTGCTGCTTTAAAAATTAATCTAGAGCTCAACAGCAATGTTGATGTATGGATGCTGGTTGCATTTTCCATGACTGAAAATGTGTTGTGCAAAGTATTAGATGCAGCATGGTAGCCAAATTCTATTTCAAAGTGAAATGCACAGCCTTAATGACAGTTCTGCAAAGACCAATCATTTGTGTCTTCTTTCTATCCTTCATACAGGCAACACTTAATGAAGTATACACATTACTAATGTCCATCCTGCAGAGAAATGAACTGTGAAAAAATTCAAGCAAACATGTTCCAACTGTTCATACAAAGGATTGCATAAGTCACACATTGTGTTTCCACAAAACTTTCCCCACAATTTGCTGCTGCTCAGCATGTACTTCACTTAGTTTCCTCTAATTAAAACTTGCAAACAGAAAAGCTTTCCAGTGCTAAGAGACTCATGTGCTTTCCTGGAGATTTGGAGCCACGTGTTCCAGGAACAGCTGGGTACACCACACCGATACAATATAAAGGCAATGTCAATCACCTTCTCTCACTTTTTAATAGCTCCCCTCCATGGTTCTCAGTCTCCATCAATAGAAATTTAAGATTAAAGAACTTTACTATCTTTCAAGTACAGTTTAATCCATTAAGATGGATCTCCTTCATAGCAATGGCGTGCTTATCATTCAGCATTTACAGAGGGACTACAGGGCTTACCAGGATTTCCTTAACTTTATGTCACATGTTGGCGATCCCCGGAATATATTCTCAATTTATTTTCCTCTTTGGTTTCAGCTCAACCAAGTGGTTGGTACTAAAATGATATGGGTGGCAGTCATTGGTGATTGGTTCAACCTCATATTTAAATGGTAAGAAGTTGGATTTATTTTAAAATTTGGTATTTTTTATGATGGTTACTATATGTGCCTCAGGATTAGAAAACTTTCTTTGAATAATGTACTAGTAGACTTTCCCCTGTAATTATAAAGCAGGAATTCAGAATGAAGATATTTAAGATATGTTTGAAATGACATTTTGATAATACAAGAAGAACATATAGAACTATTATAGAATAGTTTTGGTAATATAGCTCTTCATATTCATCGTAAGAATATTTATTGTGCTTTGCTGAGGCCTTCTTACATAAAAATATTTTTATTGCATTTCTGCTTCATTTTATTTTATTTTTTTGTCAGGATTTTATTTGGGCATCGCCCATACTGGTGGGTGCAAGAAACAATGATTTATCCCAATCAGTCAAGCCCATGCCTTGAACAGTTTCCTATAACATGTGAAACTGGACCAGGTAAGAAACATTGGTACATTTAATAGAGATAGTGGCTTTTGGGGGAAGAGGATATGACCTATGAAGATCTTATATGATACACAAATGTCAGAGCTCATATTTAAAATAACACCAAAACACAGGAAAAGAAAAACTAAGAACTAAAATGTGACAGTTATTTGATTGCTGTATGACAAGAGTGTTTGCTTCGTTGCCTTTAAACTGTACAAGGGAGGAGAATTTGCTATAACTCCTACTAGAATTAAGAAACATATGGGAAAGGAATTCTCACAAAACTTGTGTCACAGGTTCAGAAAGTGATTCACCTGCTTTGTGAGATCACTTTTAAGACCAATTGGAGTGCTAATGACATCAGCTTGGGGAGAGAAATTCCACATTGTTTAAGAGTGTTCCAGAACAGAGCGGGGGACTGTTGAGTTTGCAGGCTTGTGCACTATTACAAGAATTATTCAAACCACAAAAACTAGTAGGTAGTTCTGTTTAAATAACAATAATATCAACAACTGATCATGTAATGTATCACAAGAAATGGAACCCTTCTTCCCAGAACCAGACAATGGCAGTGGTGTGTGTGTGTGTGTGTGTGTGTGTGCGTGTGTGTACAAATATGTGCAAAAATAATTTTTTTTAAAAAAATGTACCTTATCAATATATTTTTACTATTTTATTTCATTGTCTTCTCTGTGGAACTCAAATGAATACTGCTGAAATTAAATGAGTTTGTGCAACTCTAATATGTGAAATAAGGTAAACTTGCTTGGAGCTAACTGACTGAATTTAGTTTAATTCATTGTACAAGAAAATATTGACTGTGGAAATTAATGTGCTTTGCACCTCGTCAATGCCGCTGCAAGTTTTTAAGTTGTTTGCAGAGCTGTATTTTCTGAACAATATCTTGTATTATATCCCATTGTAATTTTGATCTAAAAGCTTAAGACCTTTGTAACAGTCAGGATTTAATAATGGCTGGTATATATGTGATCTGCAGTCTGTTTCAAGTGAATTCATTTGGGATCTAACCCAAAGTATTAAAGTCCTTCATATCTTTTCAAAGGCCTTTGGAACTGAGCCTGTTCATCACCATGTAGTTCCAAGCCCTGGCTAAGGAACTAGTCTGTGTGTTTCATTTTGATTCATTGAACCAGAACTTTCTTCCTGTTACTTTTTTCCTGAAGTAACAAGTCATGCCTGTTTCTGTCCAGTGGGTACCACTGTCGTATTGGTTTCTTGTTTGCACTTATGATGACCACACTTTCTCCTACCTCCAGATTTGCCTTTGACCATCAGCAATATCTGTCACTCACCCGTTTCTCATTAACAAGAGGCGGTGCAGTCAGTGGAGCTGTTAGGTGCACACAGTCACTGTATGAGCTTCCGTGGTAATTCACACACTTTTAAAATATGCGGTTTATGTGAAAAGATTAGCAAGGCAGCCACAGATGTGAGAAAGGCATATCCAAATATAGCTAGGACAGCCTGAACCCCAAACTCTGTGGCTCAACAAAAGGGAAAGCTGATGGAACTGTTTATATGCCTACATGGCAAGCAATCTGAATTTGATTTGTACTACTGGAATAAACTGAACTAAAACCCTGCAACCATCTTTTCTTTGGTATTTGTAAGGTTTTAAGAACATGAACCTTAAGGTGGAGTTTATGCTGTTTCTAGTAGGTAGTTTGCAGATGAATATTTTTCCTAGATGGCAACAAAGAGAAGCTTTTCCAATGCTGATATACAAAATTATGGTTTCCTTATCAGTGACATTTGTTCTGTTGTGAGGTTTAGAAGTGTGCATCTGTTAAAAAATTAACAAAAAATTTGGTAGTGTGACTACTGACAATACTGCCAAGCAGAATACGGAAAATGAGTTCAGGGAGACAGAAAACAATGTGCTTGTCTTCCCCAGACATTCCTGCTTTGCTGCTTTCACTGAAATATTCTTCTGCCTTGCAAACTACTGTATAGTGCTGGGTCATAACACACTCTTCAGTCGAAATTATTTCTGCCAGTGAAATAATCCTGTCCCTTTTACTTCTATCTCATCTGATCCTCATATATATGGTCTACATTACATGCTACAGCCCTAAGAGAGCCCTAGATGTTCTATTTTTAAAATCACAATCCAAATCTAAGTAGTGGAAAAATACTATGTTTCCAGTCAAGATACCAGCTCACATCAATATAAGATGGTTAAGATGTTACCTACTTGATTTCAGACAAATATTCTGGATTCTGTATAGATGAGCCTTCTGAAAATTCATAGTGAGAAAATTAACTTTTGAGAAGCAGTTGACATTCTTTCAGCCTTTGTTAACCATTCTTTCTAAATGATTAGGTGTCTGAGTGACGGCCAGTAGACATTTTCTATACGACAGATGTTACAGTCATAAGTTTGAATATTCCTTTTAATTTTTACTAGGAAGCCCATCTGGACATGCCATGGGATCTTCCTGTGTCTGGTATGTAATGGTCACAGCAGCTCTTAGCTACACAGTCAGATGGAAAGATAAATCAGCAGTTACCCTTCACAGGTCAGTGTCTTTCCATTATTCTAATTCATACAGATATTTCTTTATATACATACTGTTTTTAATGGGCTTATTTTAACCAAATATTCATAGTCTGTTCTGTCCAGTTTGTAAAAAAAAACCCACCCTTTTTTATGATCTACTTCAGCTGAAGAAAAGAAGTATTAAGAGGATGTATCCATTTGTATAGGTTGATATTTATTAACTTAACAGCCATTGCATACAATATCTCTCATTCTGCTCCTATTAAAGGTCATGTCATGTCTTCAGTGTTGGAAATTTTGAGTTCTATTAATTGTCTCTATAAGTTGGATCTTGTGGTTAGTACATAAATGTACTGCTTTGATGATAGTCCTTGCCCCCTTTTTTAAAACAAATGTGCATAATGTTGGCAAAGTCCAGTGTAAGATGTTACCAATATCTGTGGAGAAGTCTTATAATTGCTTTGATTGTTCTTTCCAAGCCTGACAAGGCTATTTCCATACTGTGTGATTTTTTTCACCAAATAATTGAACTTTTGCCTTTAAATCTGACTTCATGATGAGAAATATGTTTAAGGTACTAGTGCTAATTTAACTTGCCACTAATAACTTTCAGCACTAAAACCAGGGTGATATCTTGGACGTGAAACTACTGAGGTCTGTTCCTACAGCCTAGATGTGGCTGCAAGAGCAACCACTCTTGCTAATGTTTTAGTAATGACTTCCAGTTTTTAATCATCTGAATCTAAACTTCTCTCATTGTAAGCCTCTGCTTGTTAAAAATATGAGCCTGACCTGAAGGGGCCTGGTGTAAATAACTGGGTGAAATGTCTTAATTTTTAATCATCTTCCTTTTCCTTCTTAGACTGACATGGTCATTCCTCTGGAGTATTTTTTGGATTATCCAGATCAGTGTGTGCATCTCGAGAGTATTCATAGCAACACATTTCCCTCATCAAGTTATTCTTGGAGTATTTGCTGGTAATGCCGCTATTTTTTCTTTTCAACATATATGCAAAATCTGAAAAAAATTAAATATGATTAAAGGCAAGAGATTTTTAGTAGTGCTGCTCAGCCTGCAGCTCTAGTGGTGCTCTCACTCTCTGGAAGATCAAGGATTTGATGATAATCTAAAGGTAAAATTTACAAGGTAGTATGTATCTGCTGTCTTTGTAATTCACACAGGGAGTGAGCCCTTGTCCATGTGCCAGTTGGCACTGACTGCATTATGGCTGCACTGCCACAGACTAGCGCTATCAGGTTTTTACTGACTGCATCTGCTCTTTTTCTGTGCAGCCTGTGTGGAAGAGATCAGAGAGGAAGTTGCCTCTGTATGGCACTGACCTGTCCTCTCAGGAGGAAGCTATTTGGTTCACTTCAAATGGTGTCCAGGTGCAAATTAGCATGTGTGCAGTGTGGACAGACACAGAGCCAGAGACGTAGGGCAACACAGAGAAAAAGGCACATTATCAGTGCAAACTCCCCAGGGTGAATTAAGAAGCTAAAGTACACTTTTCAGAGTTACTTAAACATGTTAAAAAATAGTATTTAGGGAGTTCAAACTCTGAACAATCTCTCTAGTATCTCTCTGATTTTAAGGAGGGCGACCAGAGCGTTGAGTGGGGGCTGCCTGCTCCCAAGCTCTTTCACAGATGCAGAGCAGCCTGGGCAGCACTGGCTAACAGCTTGCTATCCAGCTCTCCCTTTTCACAACCAGACTAAAATGAGTTAGAAAGAAGCTAAGCGTGTTCTGTGTCTTTTCTTTCAACACTCAAAGCTTGTGTGGGAACTGGTATTGAATTTTGCATTGCTGGGGCCAGTCATTGAGTGAGGGACTCTTTTGGAAAAGGAATGTTCTAGTTTACATCTAATCCTTGATAGGTTATCACCTGTGTGATGCAGTCAGGCCTAAGGTATGCCTCATATCACAATCATATAGTGCTTGGTATTTAATTTCTTTTTTTTCCAAATTAGCAGTTCTGAGCCAGAGTAAAGGCTTTGTAATGTACTACAGAAGTTGTGTGTGTGTATGTATATATATATATATATATATATATGTATATGTAAAATACAGAGACACATTATTCTGTCTTCAAAAGTCAAATTCCACGGGGGCACTGTAAAAAGTGATTCTTCTGTGTTGTTCTTTGTAACACTGTGTTTCTAATCTGCAGGCATTCTGGTGGCAGCAGCATTTGAGCACACCCCTGCTATTCAGACAGCGAGCTTGAGAATGTACATCAAGACAAACTTGTTTCTTTTCATCTTTGCCCTTGGCTTTTATCTAGTCCTCAAACTTCTTGACATTGACTTGCTGTGGTCTGTTCCAAAGGCCAAGAAGTGGTGTGCCAACCCAGACTGGATAAACATTGACACAACTCCCTTTGCTGGACTGGTGAGGAATTTAGGTGCACTCTTTGGCTTAGGTCTTGGAATTAATTCTGAAATGTTCATCACAAGCTGCAAAGGTAAAAATAGCTGTAAGATAAGTTTTCGCATATTGTGTATAGCTGCTTCTTTAGCTACACTGCAGCTGTATAATTTCATTAAGATACCTACTCATACTGAGTATTTGTTCTACATTTTCTCTTTTTGTAAGAGTGCAGCTATGCCTCTGACTGTAGTTGCCTTGGTTCCATACTGTGTCCACTCATTAATGAGGACAACTGAAAAGAAACTTAATTAGATAAAGTTTTCAAATGGTTAGCGATGTGGGGATGGATATGAACTGTTCAAGAACCCTTCACAAAGGCAGTTTTGCTAACTCATTTTAACCAAGGAGGATGCCACTGCATCTTTGATGTGCTCCTGGTAAGTAACCAGCACATCCAAAATCAGTACATTCAAGAATGACTTTGGCAGCTCAGAAATATTAATTGCTGATTTTATTCCTAGAAATATTGCAACCACACTGCAGTATGGTTAGAAATGACCCAATACTCTGGGTCATAACAAAGTTTTAAAGTATAATCAACTAATTTTATTTAGCTACCTTGTGGTCTTTTAGTTCTGTCCATCTCCAACTAGATGGTGCTTCAAGCCTCGGTTGTACATAGTGATACTCAATATTTAATTTTTTTATATATAGATACTGTGTGTTAAACTGCTAGATAATGGTGTGACAGTATCACACCACCTACAACTGTACAGCTGTACCCAGGCACTGTGAAAAAGGCCAGCATAATTATAAACAAGGCTTTAGATTTAACTTATTGAGCTTCCTGAGCAAAACAGCTTCTGATTAGGCCAGATGAGAAAAAAATAAAAGTTTATTTCAACTACACTCTGTAGAATATATTTTTGCATTACTGTGTGGTTTTTGTCCTTTTTTTTGGAAAGTGATCACGTAAATCATGAATGATACAGATTACACCTTTGATAATGAAAATGCATAAATAAGGTGTAACAAATCTTTGGGTTCTGTACATCTACACAGAGCAACAAATGAAGGAAGTTGTCAATAATGAGCATATCGCCTCAAGGATGTTGTTCATGTTCCTGTATTGCAAAGGTAAATTAGTCTAATTCTCTCAGGTCAAGAGTCACAAGCCTGAATCACTGTTAGTAGTTGTGTAAATCATGGAAATGTGATTGCTGACTAAGTCATTGCAAGCTTATATTCTTGTCAGCTTCGTTTACCTAAGCACACAAGTAACTAATATGTTAAATATATGTTTGCTATATAAAATGGTGCTCTAAATAGGCGAAGGCAGGTGCTTTCCCTTTTTATTCATTATTTAGTACCTACTGTTGCATATTCCCTTTCAGTGCACAATCTTTAAGCAATATTTTGCTGATACATCTCATAATACTTATTATACAAGCAGCATAAGGCTATAATATGGGTAATGAGGGCTGTGTATGTATGATCTGACAGCAATAAGGCTTAGAAGATGTAAACATGATATTGCTTCTAGATTTCCAATTAGCTGTGGGATAATTGAAATGGAAAGAATCTTATTTAATTGGGAAAATGAGGCGAATAGTTTGAGTTGGCCCTTGAGAATGAACATGATACAAATTACAGAAGGAAAACCTGAAACAGGCATCATTATTTTGGAGCCTACTAAGACTACCTGGACAAGAAAATTAATCATCTGGTTTTAACAGTCTGAGGAGTATGCATCTCCTGATATCTTCTTTAATGGTTCTCTCAACATTTTTCCCACAGTGGCTGGCCTGAAACCAGCCTTTTCTGTAATTATGACTCCTTAAGCAAAATTACTAATCTAACGGGACTGGAAACAAATAATGATGAACAAAGACAGCTGTGACAAAGATTTCTCCTGTGTTCAAGTTGCTCTGTGCTGTGTTACTCCCTACCAGTGAGGTGAGCTACAGAGGCATCACAACACCAGGAGATTGGTCTAGCTGTCCTGTGCCTCCCTCCTTCTGGCCAACAGCAGGGGATTGATTCTTTGTGTGCAGCCATGTTTGCGCCTACAAGCGATGTTGGCTGTTTTACGCTGGGACCTCACATTTCTATACTCCTACCACATGAGGGTCTGGGCTTCTGGGTACTGACAAAGAATCTTGATGCCTCTGTTGGGACAGACACAACCACAAATATAGTCTGACAACTCATATTTCTGCAGTATTCTTCTAAGTGCTGTACAGACACATAAGAAGACATGGGCTCTCACTTGCTTTCTTGGAGTGTCCAGTTAATTCAGCCTGCAACTTCAGTGCTTCAGGGCAAGGGGCAAAGACCAGCTTCCTGTCTGAACCACCTCTTTATTCTTTCTGCAACTATTAAAACATTACTAAACCCAAGAATGGTGGGAAAACTGAATAAATTAAGTTACTTCATTTTACTTGTAACTTCAGAAATTAACCTATTGATAAAGTAATGGCAGTAGAATAAGAGTTTCTGAGCAGCTGAGCGTGTTGGGCTATAGAGTTTTGTGAGACTGCCTGAAGAATCTCCAAAGAGGGCTCCCAAAACTTCAAACAGAGTTGGCCTTTTCCAGAGTGGTGGGATAAACAAGTGTTATAAGTGATATAATCTTGATATTTTGATAGAATTAGAACTGTAAATCAGGAGTCAGCCATTTAGGTGATACAGTGAAATAGGCCTACCTGTCCCTTAGGCTTTAGTAAATTTACCACAGTTGAAAATTATACTTCAAGTCTTACTTAATAAGATTGTGTGGCACCTTAATTAAGAGCTATCAAATTGTTAAACATTTAAACTGTAACTCTATCAGGCTTTTGTAGCTGTTTATATTGTTAATATTTGGAACAGATACAGAGCATATACACTTATATGATGATGAGGTGAACGACTCAATCTAGTTTGAGCCACAAGGCCCCCTTTTGAATTAAGCTTTTTCTGTGTAAAAGGATGGTGGAAAGTGCTTCACTGATCCCCTTGCTCCCATTAATGAGATCCCAGGAGAAAGTTAATCTTTTACTCTTGACTTAGAAATGCCCAAATTGGGATAATACAGTTCCAAAAGTCCTTCTATCTGTCTGCAGAAAGAGTCTCATGAGCCAAGAGTCATATGAAGTGAAAGTGTCCCTCACGCCTCATACAAGCTACCTGACAACAGTCACTTATGCTAATATGCAGCTTTTCTTTTCATCCTCCCCATTCCCTGTTCTGCCTTCCTGATGGAAAGACTCTGGCCACAGACTGGCTATTCCTGCTCAGAGTAGCCTAGTTGGAGCAGGGGCTGTATTTGCAGAGTGGTTACTCAGGTGCTATCCTAAAACAGTATCATGGTCATATTTATCCAGAGGAACAGAGTGGCTGGAAAACCAGATAATGCAGCTGCCATGGACCATGCAGAGAAACATACAGCAGGACACACCAAATAACAGTCAGCTACTTCTGTCAAGACTAATAACTCAGGGCTGGCTATGAAAGACATAATCAAACGCCTTTGGGTCTGCTCAGGGGTCTTGTCACCAAGCTCCAGGGCTGGGAGGTCTTACCAGTGGGGGAGCTGCAGAGGAAAGGCCAGTCCACCTCCACGCTGGGCCATCCATCAAGGCTTGGTGCTCATGCCCTGACACACCCTGTAGCTCCACTTGCACTTTAATCCCTTCACACAGGTACTGAAGGGCTTTATAATCAACTGGTTGACAAGAGCACACAGGTACAAAGTGGCAGGACATGGCACCCAAGAACGTTTTAAGACTAATGCAACTGCACACTGTGAGTGCCTTCTGTTCTACCACTGTGCTTCCCAATACATGGCTCCCCATCTCTACCAGCTGCCTCAAAACAGGCTGAGGTTATGCTGCAGAGCAGTAATACTGCCCAGCCGGGCCCACGCCGCTGTGCTCCTGCAAGGAGGTGGCAGGCTCCCTTGCAGGCTGGGGCTAGTGTAGGTGCATTGGCCTTCCTAACAGCTCTGTCCTGCACAGCAGACCCTTGCTACGAACATGATCTAAATACACAGAAATACTTATCTGCTGCAAAATACTCATGTGCTTGTCTAAAGGCTGAGATGAAGTGCTAAAGCACAAGAGCAAGTAAAAAATACAATTTATTGGTATAATTTGAGCCACGGAAGTGGTGTCCTTTAGGCAAAACAATATGGAAAAAGTACACATAGTCACTGTAGTTTTTAATAATCATGATTTTTTCCATGGCCTTAAATACTAATATAAATTAAGTATCATGTAGGTATGTCAATAGGTTATCCATAGTCTCTCTGTCGATAGTTTCAGTCCTGAGCCATGCAAACTAGTTATTGCTCTGAAACATAAAAAGGCTAAAAAGATTAAAACAGAAGGCAAAGAATGCAAATTTCTTTTTCATTTTCAGTTAAGGACTAAAACACAGACTTCCTTGGGAAAATAGCATTTCAGTGTCAGCAATGTGATTTCAGTGCAGTCTGTTGAAGTAATTGTATTAATGGAGTTGTACAAAAGATGAAACTGGTTTTTGCTGCCTGGAATTAAGGGATGTATCCTAATAAAGTTTTCATCCTTACAGCTCTATTCAAGTTTCAGCAGTTGGTACTGTTGCGTAGTTTCATGAAAAACTCCATTGTGATTTGATTTGTTATAAAGTGAGTGACCCCCCCCCCCGACATGGAGAATTACTTTTCCAGTTACTGCTCTATTATTCAAAATCAAGATCTAAATTTTGAAACCATAGTTTAGACCTTCTGTCTTTCTGCTTTGTCTCCAAGATCCCAGTCACTAAAGTCCTGTTGTCCTGCAGACAATAACCAATAACCTGTTTCAGAGAAACATGCAGTAGACTTTATAATACAGTTACAGATACAATCTTCTGCCAGAAGACAATACTTCTCGACCTTTGTGATTTCTGAGTGAATTGTTGCTCTATTCATCATCACTGCTTAATACAAAGAGCTAATTATGGCTTGCTTTTTTTTTTCCACATTTACTGAATATATTTAGGATTTCTGTTAAAAGGCTCATCATTGTCTTGCCTTCTGAAAAATAGAAAACATATTATCCATCAGTATCTCAATAGAAGTCATTTAAATAACTGTGATGATTAACTGTAGGAATTTACTTTGATTTAACTAAGCATTTATTCCTATCAGAGTGGTGAGTGCAGGGGAAACGATCCTCAGTGTCTTCTGTTCCTTTTTTGGATTGCTTTCCTTACTGTTGTGGATCTGCCTTCTTTGTAAGCAGTTAACAGTTTTGTGGCAGGGTCAGCACGATGCCAGGCTCAGGGCACCGCTGTGTTAGTGCCGTAGCTGCAGACAGTGGAGCCCAGCCTCCCCCAGCAGCACAGCTAGCGCGTGGCACGGAGAGGTAGAAGGGTGGGGGTTGGCACCCACATTAAAGGTATCTGTTGTAATCCTCTGCAGACCAAGCATTAGGAGAGATTTGATCCCTTCAGATATCTAGCATCACTCTTGGGATAGGTTTTCATTCTTACAGTTTACCTAGAGAAGTGGCAGTTTCCAGAACACCAGAGCAGAGTCTTCTTTGATTGCTAGTTGAGGAATGACAGGACTGTGCAGGCAGAGTGCAGGTGGTGGCAATTTCCCAGATCACCAGCAAAGATCTTTCCCATTTTCAGCTGTTCTTTCCCTTAGAAGTGGGCTAAGCTACTTCCTGAATGCATCAGCCTGTGCTTAGTCCCCACGTGTGCCTCACAAGTGTGTTTGATGCAGAAAGCTACATACATTCAGGGTGCCACAGCACTCACAATATCATAGAGCACTTTGTAGCACAGTGGGATACCAACATACATACACATACCTACTGCAGAGTATTGGCTTACAGAAAGGAAACCTTTCAAATTTAGAATCACAGTAATTCAGCTAACTGGGGCTCCAGTGGT